TCGGGCTGGGTTACGCTGTCTCGCAGACGGCCACTGGGCTCACAGGGAGGGGGGGGCAGGAGCTCCAACAAGGCGTTTAGGACAGAGAGTGAATACACATACTATACAGAGATGCTGTATGAGAAACCAATGTGAGTTTGGAACATTGAACAATATAAATCTATTCTAGTATACCTCAACAATGGAATTATGATCAGTAGAAATGGCCATGACATGGGCCCTTTAATGCACAGAAAATACAGTACAATAGATTTTAATCAGTATCTTTGTTCTATAGGTCAGGGGTCAGCAACCAAGTAATAGTGCATATATAATATATAAAATTTGAATAAAATACATTGTGTTATTTCAGGTTCATCCAGTGCCCCGACTACATTTTTATAATGGTATATATTTATAAGTAATATATAAACAAATCATATATATAAATAATAAACATTTTATATATAACATTTTTAAATATATATAAATAAGAGTGATCTTTATGATTCATTATATAACTTAAACATACATTAAAACAAATACAAACAAATCGTAAATAAATAAATCATTGTATAAAATAGTTTATATACAAATCACAAACTACGATTTTATTCAAATACGATTTATTCACAGCAAAGTGGAGGAAAATATATTTGTACATGTTTTCAATACAGTGACCCAAAATGTAAACGTGGTGGAAAATAAAGGATTATTAAACGTATGATGATAATAATAAATAACAACAACTCAAAGCTTTAGATACAGCGAATAACAGTCACTTTCTCAAACAGTGCGTTAGATAAACTCCTCACATATAATATATTATAACACATTTTAATATAGCTTTAATATTTTCTGGTGATTGTCTCAAACATTCAGACTTAATTTTTTACATTAAAACCACTTTAATCTGTTTTCTCAGTTTCTTCCAGGACTTTGTTTGTTCTTGTAAAGGGATCATTTAAAAGTAAACAGTAAAAAAACATCCTCTTTTTACCATAGCAGTCAAACTTAAACACAACAGCGACTGCATTGGGGGATGAAACAGCTGTGAACGTTAAGCAACACGTGTCTTTTTGTTGTGTCATTTTATACCTTTGTCTGGAGCAGTTTCATAAAAGACGGTTCTTTTAAAGGTCACCTATTATGTGTCCCCTCTTCTTCATGTCTCTTCTTCATCAACATGTGTCCCCTCTTCTTCATGTCTCTTCTACATCAACATGTGTCCCCTCTTCTTCATGTCTCTTCTACATCAACATGTGTCCCCTCTTCTTCATGTCTCTTCTACATCAACATGTGTCCCCTCTTCTTCATGTCTCTTCTACATCAACATGTGTCCCCTCTTCTTCATGTCTCTTCTACATCAACATGTGTCCCCTCTTCTCCATGTCTCTTCTTCATCAACATGTGTCCCCTCTTCTTCATGTCTCTTCTACATCAACATGTGTCCCCTCTTCTTCATGTCTCTTCTACATCACCATGTGTCCCCTCTTCTTCATGTCTCTTCTACATCACCATGTGTCCCCTCTTCTTCATGTCTCCTCTACATCAACATGTGTCCCCTCTTCTTCATGTCTCTTCTACATCAACATGTGTCCCCTCTTCTTCATGTCTCTTCTACATCAACATGTGTCCCCTCTTCTTCATGTCTCTTCTACATCAACATGTGTCCCCTCTTCTTCATGTCTCTTCTACATCAGCATGTGTCCCCTCTTCTTCATGTCTCTTCTACATCAACATGTGTCCCCTCTTCTTCATGTCTCTTCTACATCAACATGTGTCCCCTCTGTGTAAAGAGACTCTGAAAGTTTCAGGAAAAAAGATTCTCTCTCTTTTTGTCCTGATCCATTTATATAAAAACCTGTCTGAAAATGAGCTGATCAGATTTTGCTGAAACAGAGGGGATTATGGGATGCTGCAATGATCTGTTTGGTGTTTCAGCCAATCAGAAACATGTTCTGTATATATCTGAGACCTGTGATATATTGATGAAAAACAGTATAATAGGGGACCTTTAAACACATTTAAACTTCAGTATATGGGAACAAAATGTCCTGAATTTTCAGTGTTTCATCGTAATTTCATCAGGAGTTGTCAATTGTTTTATAATATATAAACATAAATACAATGAATACAGTCTTAAAGGGGCTTTTTGAAGCTCATTTCCAGGTTCATACAGGGGAGGGAACCCCAAAAGCATATGGGCTTCTTTAAAGTAACACTAGTTCTGTAAATAACCATCTCATATTAAGTGGACACTTCAAAAGCTGCAATAAATAAATAAATAAAAGTATTATTAAATATAAATACTTCTGCACATTCAGAGTGATGAGGTTTGGACGGTGATAACATCAATAAACATTCTCAGTGGATTTAAATTCATTCAGTTTTAAATATTACTCAGCGCTGTAAGTCAGACCACATGATGAACGTTAGCCCTCAGTTTCACATCCACACGCTTCTACAATCTTTAGTTACAACTAACAGTGAAATAACTGATGGTGAATTAGATCAAACTCATTAACATTACACGCGTCTGTCACTGTGATGGAAACAGATCACATGTCAAATGATACGAGGTGATCAAATACGTTCTATCTATTAAAACGCTATCTTTAATTGGACGTTAGCGTTCCCTTTTAATCCCATCGCTGGATATAAAACACAAACTGAAACTTCTTTTTTTGGGACAAAAGCTAAATGTAATGCAATGCAACTATTTCACTGCAATTCTTAAATTATTCACAATTAATTTCATGTTTTGTTCTGTATATATTTTAAGTTATTATTGATAAAACTGAATTCAAGCCAAAGTAAATAATTATTTGTTATTCAAAAAAATACTTATTGTGTGTATATAGTGTGTGTGTGTGTGTGAGTGTGTGTGTGTGTGTGTGTGTGTGTGTGTGTGTGTGTGTGTCTGAGTGTGTGTGTGTGTGTGTGTGCGTGTGTCTCTCTCTCTGTGTGTGTGTGTCTGAGTGTGTGTGTCTGAGTGTGTGTGTGTGTGTGTGTGTGTGTGTGTCTCTCTCTCTGTGTCTGTGTGTCTGAGTGTGTGTGTGTGTGTGTGTGTCTGAGTGTGTGTGTGTGTGTGTGTGTGTCTGAGTGTGTGTGTGTGTGTGCGTGTGTCTCTCTCTCTGTGTCTGTGTGTGTCTGAGTGTGTGTGTGTGTGTCTGTGTGTGTGTGTGTCTGAGTGTGTCTGTGTGTGTGTCTCTTTTTTAAAGAAAGGGATAAATGAATAACTACAGTTTTAGTTGGACATAGTGCCTTTACGACTTGTTTATTACGTGTATTTATTATTTATGACATTATATTATAGTGGCATTGTTATTATTCTTACATATTTATGATGTAAAGCGTCGACTAAAGTAAAATAAATTGAATTAAGTGTTTATATTTGCATCATCAGCCACAAGAGGTTGAGCAAATTCCTCATAATTTAATCTATACGATATATTTTATATATATATTGAATTAAGAGGGTTAAGTTTTGTATCTGCAGTAAAAGAGAAAGCACCATTATTCCTAATTTAAACGAGAAGCATCTTAATTAAGAGAAACACATTTAAACAAGAGGTTATAATAAAGGCAGCGCATCTTGAATCTAGTTTCTCCTCAGAAAATACTTTTAATATTCTATTTGATAAAATCTTGTTTCTTTGTAGTTTATCCTAATCTACACTTCAGATCCAAAATAGTCAAATATCAAAAATACTTTAGTTTGGTCCGTTTCTGCTGCCTTAGAGTTTATCACACACACACAGACAGACACTTAGACACGAACACACACACACAACGACACGACACGAACACACACACACACACACACACACACACACACACACACACACACACACACACACACACACACACACACACACACACACACACACACACACACACACACACACACACACACACACACACACACACACACACACACACACACACACACACACACCACACACACACACACACACACACACACACACACACACACACACACACACACACACACACACACACACACACACACACACACACACCACACACACACACACACACACACACACACACACACACACACAGAGAACAGCGGAGACATGCGTGCTCATAAATAAATACATTCAAACAGTGATCAGTGATTTCTTTAAAGAAAGCTTGTAAATAATGAATTCTCTCTGATGTTTGTTCATTATCAAACAGCGTCTACAGCAACATATATGTCAGTCCATCACATCAGTTCAGGTTGTTTCACTGCTGCCAGGTGAAACACACACATTTAAAGAGTTTTTCTTCAAATGAATCATAAATAAGGACATTTTAAGTAGAAAAGTCAAGATTCAGCCCAGGGTTTATCAGTGAGTCCTGTAAACACATGACAGGGAGGGATCAGCAGAGTGCATACTACTGCAAACTATCCTATAGAGTGCATTTCATTTAGGAAATATTGACTTAGTAATTAAAATACATAGTTTAAAGATGTTTAAAGAAGCGGAAAGAGGTTGTAGTGTAGTGTAGCTGTAGTGTTTTTAGGACATGTTTTAACAATATCGTGATAGGAGACTAAATAGAATTACATTTCTGATATCGTATTATTGTATTGTGTCTTTTAAGGCAGAGTTACAGTTCAGTGATATATTTTTCTTAATTCAAACCAGCTTTTCTAGCAGTTCTATTATTTGCCTTTACTTGTTTAATCCACTTTAAAAGGTAGGGTAGGTAAGAATGGAGAAACCAGCTTGAGTGCACTAGAACTTGAAAATACACAACAGGAAAAAATCTGCCCCTTCCTTCAGACTTCCTTACAGAGCCCCTCCTCCAACACACACGAACGCACACATGACCAATGAGGGCACGAGATACGTTTGTGCACAGATGGAAGGCTGACAGGCAGGTAGGCCATCCAGTTATTTTAGCCGGGCCGGCTCAGATGATTGGTCGTGCTTTTTACAGTACCACGGCTTCCACAGATGACTTATTTGTATGTATTTATTGTCAAAGCATTTAATGTATTCATTGCTATCAGGATGTTAAGAGCATTCCATGGAATATAACAACAAGTGTTTCTGAAGTGAATTACCTACCCCACCTTTAATGATGATTATTTATCAATACTCTAATTGTGTGACATTTTTCTGAAAGCATGATGGTCAAGTCTACATTATTCATCCCAAAATTGAGGTATTTGGTAAAAAAATGTTGTGATATTTTGTATTATATAAATGTTATTGTATGTAATGTTATTATATAAATGTTAGTCTCTTATGTGAGCTGTAGTTAATGTCAATGTGGATTCACTTAATGTCTAATCCAAAGAGTTTACTCTCTAGTGCCCGTCATGTTTCATAGTTTGTTCAATGTCTTTTAGATTTAAGATTACACAACCTACAAGTAAAGGACAATATATACCGTAGATTCAGATTGTGTGAGTGTTTAACGATGAAAAAACATCCATAACATTCATCTGTCTGCAACTCATATATATCAATATTCCAATTACTTGTATATAGACTACTCTGCACTGTTTCTATTATATTCTATTTTATTGCATTTACTTGCACTATTATCTGTTTTATTGTGTTGCACTGTTTGAGGAGCCTGTGACCTCAGAGTTTCATTGTCATATCTACACTGTAGCTATGTGTACACATGAGAATAAAAGCCTTGAATCTTGAATATACTGTAGATTCAGAGTGTGAGTGTTTAACGATGAAATGACCCCCCCTGACAGCAGAGGTTCTCTCTCAGTGACTCCTCTGCACTGAGACCTCATGTTGCTCAGAGAGTCTGATGTTTGCTCTTCAGAAAGGGAACGTGGTTTTCAGAGAGTCCCGTTTTCTACCTGAGCCGGGCGGAGAAGCAGCGCATGTACTCCGTCACCCAGCGGTCGTCCGCCACGCTCAGCTGCGAGCGCCTCGTCTTCTCCAGGTCGGCGGATCGAGCGCGCCGCCGCTCAGGGTTCGAGTTCTTCTTATCGGACCCCCGCCGGGTGGTCTGTACGCAGGCGTCAGACGTGTGGCTCTGAGGGGAGAAACCAGAGAGATGGAGGAGGGGGAGACGTTTCCGAAAAGCACACCAGAGTTTTATTATTAATGAGAGCAAGAGTCTCAGGTGACACAGCTTCACTTCTCTGGTGTCCTGTGAAGCTGCTCTGAAACTCACCTGGACTCAGGGAATCTCACATCCTAACTCTGTGCACATTTATTTCTGTATAAAATGTACTTCGTCTTTTATTAGAAGTGGGAAATCACACACCACACACACACGTGCACGAAAGACTAAAAACAACACATCTTCTGACTGTTCCCTGCAGAAGTTACTTTGAAGATCAAGGTTACAGCTAACTTCAGTAACCAGCAGTGAAGGCATTTAACTTGGTGTTTTTTGTTAACTTTTTTCAAACCAAAGTGTAAGTAAGTATTAGTAAAACATGGTAAACGTGTTCCACTACAAATCCTGCAATCAAAATCTTACTTAAAGGGAATTCTGCTGCCTTTAAAGTGTATGTCAAATCAGTGTTGATGGTAAATGCAGTCGTTTGAGGCTTTTCATTCCTCATAGCGTGCGACTGTATATTGAAATGAGAAAGCTGAGTTTGTACTGAAAGTGTATTATGACATCTTGAGCAATTGCTTAATTGTTAGTTTCGTGTTTACCGTATTTTTTGTTGCTTTTCAATTGGTGTTTGAAATTAGGTCTTTTGTTAGTTTATGTTTGATTGTTTATGTGGCTATATTGTGTAAAGGTGTGTTTGACTTAGGGCTGCTCGATTATGGCAAAAATCATAATCACGATTATTTTGGTCAATAATTGATATCACGATTATTAAAAACGATTATCCATTTACTTTGAAAACATCAATTTATTGAACTTTAACTATAATTCAACTGAAAACACAGTAAAAAAAATTATAAAAAATTAACAAATTATTTAAATATTTTTTTAAATAATAATCGTTTTATTTTGATTACGTTGTTTTCGTAATCGTTGCAAGCCAAAATCGTAATCGAGAGTAAAATATGATTAATTGCACAGCCCTAGTTTGACTGTATGTGTGGAGCAGAGGAAGAATAGCCAATGCTAGTGCTAGTGCTTAGGAGCATCCTGATAAAGAAAGTGGAGCTCCTGTTACCTCCTGTTGCCGTATCCTCCAGCACGCTTCAATACGTTGTGACTCAGAGTTTAGAAGTGCTTTCAGTCCCCTGGAATATCTCACAAATGTTTTACATGCCAAATCTGACCAGTTCCTTACTTTATACTACATTTTCTTGGACTTGAATTGTCGGCTGTTCTTGTTAAAGGAACCTCATGAATCTCCTGTCATCATAAATTCATCATCAATCATAAATGTGAATCTCCTGTCACCACCTCCATGTATGTTTGAGACTGAGCTGTTTTTGTTGTGTTTTGTCTTTTTGTTTGCTTTGCTTTGTAATAATGTATTTGTCATGTATGTGCTACGTCATTATTGTGTTGTACAAAGTGCTTTCATGGGACAACACTCACGTTGTTCCTCGCCCTCCGGCCCTCCCCCTGTCTGTCGCTCCAGTCCAGTCTTCCGGACGCTCTCAGGCTCTCCTTGCTGCAGAGGGCCGGAGTGCTCTTGGCTCTCGGGGGTTTCCTGAGCACGGCGGGCTTCTCCTCCAGGGAGCTGTCCCGGTGGGGGGTCTCTGAGCGGGGGGTGCGGCGGCGGAGGCGTCTCCTGGGCGGCGGGAGGACCGGCTCCCCGTCAGAAGAGGTGGTGTCAGCGGGGCCGGGGTCTGACGGGGACTCCACCTCTGAGGGGCCGCTGGTGTCTGGAGTCACTGAGCTGGATCCATTCACACCGTTTACTACAACCGCTGGGGAAGATACAGAGCAACCGTTTTACCAACCTCAGAGCACATTAAAGGTCCCCTATTATACTGTTTTTCATCAATATATTATAGGTCTCAGATATATACAGAACCTGTCTCTGATTGGCTGAAACACCAAACAGATCATTGCAGCATCCCATAATCCCCTCTGTTTCAGCCCTGTTTCCAAAGTGCTGATTCTCTGTCTGTTACTTTAGATGAAAATAAGGAGCCCCTCCCCACGTCCCTCTGAGAGAGATTTGGTTACAAAGAACACAATGGTGCTCTAGGAGGACATTCAGGTGATAAGGTGGGGGGGGTTACCTTGGTTGGTGATTGGCTAATGGTTACACAAGCCAACACATCGTTATGACATCATAAAGTGGTCAAAAGCTGATCAGCTCATTTTCAGACAGGTTTTTATATAAATGGATCAGGACAAAAAGAGAGAGAATCTTTGTTCCTGATACTTTCAGAATCTCTTTCCACAGAGGGGACACATGGTGATGTAGAAGAGACATGAAGAAGAGGGGACACATGTTGATGTAGAAGAGACATGAAGAAGAGGGGACACATGTTGATGTAGAAGAGACATGAAGAAGAGGGGACACATGCTGATGTAGAAGAGACATGAAGAAGAGGGGACACATGTTGATGTAGAAGAGACATGAAGAAGAGGGGACACATGTTGATGTAGAAGAGACATGAAGAAGCGGGGACACATGTTGATGTAGAAGAGACATGAAGAAGAGGGGACACATGCTGATGTAGAAGAGACATGAAGAAGAGGGGACACATGTTGATGTAGAAGAGACATGAAGAAGAGGGGACACATGTTGATGTAGAAGAGACATGAAGAAGAGGGGACACATGTTGATGTAGAAGAGACATGAAGAAGAGGGGACACATGTTGATGTAGAAGAGACATGAAGAAGAGGGGACACATGTTGATGTAGAAGAGACATGAAGAAGAGGGGACACATGTTGATGTAGAAGAGACATGGAGAAGAGGGGACACATATTGATGTAGAAGAGACATGAAGAAGAGGGGACACATGTTGATGTAGAAGAGACATGAAGAAGAGGGGACACATGTTGATGTAGAAGAGACATGAAGAAGAGGGGACACGTGTTGATGTAGAAGAGACATGAAGAAGAGGGGACACATGTTGATGTAGAAGAGACATGAAGAAGAGGGGACACATGTTGATGTAGAAGAGACATGGAGAAGAGGGGACACATGTTGATGTAGAAGAGACATGAAGAAGAGGGGACACATGTTGATGTAGAAGAGACATGAAGAAGAGGGGACACATGTTGATGTAGAAGAGACATGGAGAAGTGGATTTAGCATAATAGGTGACCAACTGTGAACATTCATAAACACACCTCCGCCCCTCAAAGACTGCAACCACTACTATTTAGACATATTTATGGCTATGTTACTTGCATCTTTTGATTACTATAACCCTTTGTGAACACACAGTTAGAAATACACTACATTTATACAGTTTTGTACATTTAACGTTTTAGACTGTAAGTGTAAATATGCACATTAACATTTAATTTTATCTCGTTGCACTGTCATCGCTACTACCTCTGCTTTTACCACGCTTATTTATTTATTTGTGTCTATTTTTTTACTGCAGTGAGAGTTGCTAAATAAATGTGGTTGTACTTTGTATGATGACAATAAAGATATATTAATATTCTATTCCAAAAAGGCATGTTCTTTAGTTTATCATGTTTGTAGGAGCCAAAATGCTGTGGTAGCTTGTGTTATAGTTATATTATCTTCATTATTTGTTACCACCACACACACTTGTAATGGGTTGTTTCCGGTGATGGTCACATGGTGTGGTTAATAGTATTTAGGGCACCTGGTGTATGTGGAGGTTTGGTAGCATGACAATGGGGGGGAGCTTAGCTCTGATATCTTTTGTTGACCGTATGATTCTGTTTGTTTATTGTTTTGATTTACAATATTAAATATCCTTAAAACGTCAGGTTCAGTACAGACTTTATTATTTAGACGCGTCACATCAATGAGCGAAGTTTAGCCTCAGAGCGGCCGTAATCAACGGGAATATAGCCGGCACAATGTTGTTGAATATTTAGTAAATAGACCGTCTCTTGTGGCGGTGGATAGCAGAGCTGGTTCCCAGAATCTCTTGTGTTTGAAAGGAAAGCCACAGAGCGGAGACACAGAAGCTGTTTCTGAGCTCAGAGTCTGAACAGGAGGAAGCAGCCTCCTCTGATCACTGAACTTTCAGTCCAAATATTTTTAGCTTCACGTCTCTGGAGGTAAAGCCGCCTCTGGCCCTCACACTGTCAGAGTGACGCTCACACAGGAGCACAAACACACTCCTCCCGGGGGTCTGGGGGATTAGCCCAAAATATTTCTGGAAGCGAGACAAAAAACAGAGGAGAGCGAATAGAAACAGGACATTATGTTTTTGGTTTAATGCATCAGAGTTTTAGAACACCTGAACTCAAAATGATGAAGTGAGCATGGCTGCAACCGACTATTCTTTTCATTATTGTATCATCTCATCGCTTTGTTTCTAGTTAATTGTTTAACTATAGGATAGAAAGCTTAATGCTAAACATCCTTAGAATGGCAATGCTAACATGCTGATGTTTTGCTCTTTTGAAACTCAAGCACCAGAACTAACCAAGGTTTGGCTTTGTTAAGATAATGTGCCTGCAGGTTGCTTGCTGGTCTGTTTTTGTTGTCTGTTGTGTTTCTTTATGGTTTATTGCACTTATTGTAAGTCACTTTGGATAGACACGTCAGCTAAATAAAATAAAATGCACTACTGTCACCATCAAGTTGTTAGCATGCAAACATTTGCTAATTGGCATCGAACACAATTTATTTGACGGGAATGTATTTTGATTTGCAAAATACCTGATAATGTTCAAAGTAGGCACTAAAGTTATAAGATTTATAAATGATTTTCTGTGACAGACAGAGCTGCAAAAATGAGTAACTTAATCGAATAAATAATGGACAGAAAGAAAACCAGAAACAGTTTGAATTGATTGAATTGATTATAAAGATGACATGCAGCTCTTTTATTTCTTATATTTAGTTTTCCCCAAATATAGTAACGTTTAACTGAAAGCCTGAACTCAGACTGATCTATGATCTATGAAGCCTTTAAATGTGTTGATTTATTTGAGCAAGAGTCAAAAAATATATATATTTAGGAATCAACTCAGCTGGGATAAGAGAATATATGTCTCTTTTTTGCTTGATAACGGTTTTGGCCCTGGACTGCCAGTCTGGATATTGTTGTTTATTTAATTGATTCTGTTTCGATATTCTGGTCAAACAGTATATATTTTTTTGTCGTTATAAATAAAACGTTTTGAGCTTAAATCAAGCGACTACGCCTATGTTTACGAACGGACAAAGAGAACCCCGTCACAATGATAAAAACTGTTAATCGGTTGTATACATGTATGTCAGTGGTGTCAGTCTCCTCACCTGCGAGTGGAGCAGCGTCTACGACCGTCTCCCCGCCTCCCCCCTCCGTCTCCCTGTCCTCAGATGTCTCTTTTGTCTCGGGGTTGGATATCTTCTGCTTTGGGAGGGACAGAGGGGCGATTCTGTTCCTGCTGGGCCTGGGCGTGGACCAGCCGCTGGACTCGGAGCTGTTGTCCCAGCCCTCAAAGAACCAGGACTTGTGGGAATGCTCCATGACTCTCCGGGTCAGGCGGTACTTCACTGAGTCCTCGTAACATTTGGAAAACGTCTCCCACTTGGGATCCCTGAACTTCTTCATGTACTCCGACCGGACTCTCTTGGTCAACATGGTTCCTTTAACTTCCTCCGTCTGGTTGTTATCACTGTAGAGAGAATAAGAGGAAATAAAACGTGATTTTTGGAAATAACACTTTACACTGAATTCATATCTACAGGATATCATTTGTAGGATTGAGATTAAAATACATGATAGATTACAAATGTCTTGGTCTTTATATCCTTATCTTTGTGATAGTAATTAAAGGCAGACACAGCTACTGTAAAGCCAAAATATTAGAGTAACTATTTACTAATACAATGCAACGTGAGGCAGCTGTGGCTCAGGGGGTAAATGGGAGTGTACGAATCAGTGTTTGATCCCAGCCACTGCAGTTAATATGTAGGAGTGTCATTAGGCAGGATACTGAACCCTAAATTGCTCCTGTAGTCATGTCTACAGTATTGAAGTGTATATACGCAGTACAGTACTTGAGTAAATGTACTTAGTTACTTCACACCACTGTTCAGTTGTATGTCTCTGAGAGGATCTACCTGTATGTTGGCCTCTGCAGGTGTGGTTCACCTGTAGCTCCGCCCACCTCCCTCCACAACAGATTACCTCAGAGCTTCTTATAGTCTTACTACTGACTGCTCTACTGACTGCTGCTAGTACTCAGACTACACCAACAATAACACAACATATATATACAGTTTATCTGGATATCTTCCGCCTAGTGGTGGAAGAAGTACTCAGATCGTTTACCTAAGTGAAAGTACTAATACCACAGTCTTAAATTACTCCATTACAAGTATAAGTCCTGTGTTGCAAATGTTAGGTAGTAAAAGTACAGAAGAATGATCAGCTAAGTGTACTCAAGTATCAACAGAACTGATAGTGCAGAATGCCTCTTATAAATGATTTACATTATAATAAAATATGATATTATCCTGTTTTTAAATACATATGAGTTTTTTTATGTTGTAATTAGTCATGGAGCACATTTTGGAAAGTTATGAGTAAATTAGTAGTAAATATATGTCATATAAACACATGTATTAAGGTACATTTTACTACAAGCATCAAATAAATGTAGTGGAGTAGAAGTATAAGTAGCAGAAAATGGAAATACTTAAGTAAAGTACAAGTACCTCAAAATGATACTTAAGTACAGTACTTGAGTAAATGTACTTAGTTACTTTACACCACTGCCCGCCTACACACATTATTCATTTTCAATAACAATATTGAAAATAAACTACATGAATGAATAATTCATCTGAGCTGGCCTACATCTGATGCATGGGTAACAAGCAATCAGCAGCTAATTACTGCTCATTTATTGTAGATTTCCCCTGTAAATGTAACAGTTTATTTTTCTCAGGCACACCCCAAAACATCGTATTTCTTAAAATAATTTCTACATTTAAAAACGCCACCGAAAAAATAATACAGCCGTTTAAATTTGCAAAAAATATTGACAGTTTGAATATATGAGATTTGAATTGGCAGTTACCGTTAGAATACCGTTTTTTCCACGGTGAAAACAGCCATCAGTAAGCCCCGCTTGTAAACACGGTGTGGTTTGAAAAATGTGAGGCTTATTAAGGTTTTATATTATATATTTAATTTCACTCACCCAGACTTCATTTCAGGGCGGTCCAGTGTGATTTAAAAGCCCAGTTTGTCCCGTATGTTCCGCGGTTTAGACGCCTGACATCTTGCGCTTCTCTCCGACTCCAACTGACAGCCGACAGACGAGCTACAAGCTAACTGATGTACGGCTTTCAGCTTCCGGCGTAGACTTTCAAAATTAAATATATATATTTTATATGATAATCTAAATCAACAACAAAAAAGATGTGCCTTTGTAATTTAGTGTAGAATAAGTACAAACCACTCAAGTATAGTAAAGTACAAGCAACTTAAAGTTTTACAATGGGAAAATGTCATATTTTAAACTGTGTTATGTTAGCTTAACATTTATTTTGAAAACATAATTAGATACTTCCGGTACAGTTTGATGGAGAACAGAAAATATCGTAGTAATAAAATATAATTTCCAAGTGAAGATGCAGAGACCATACTGCGCATGCGTACTCTGCCTCCATCTGTGTAGTGACGACAACAGGTGAAACAGCAGGATCAGACTTTTAAACTAATTTTACTGAGACAGTCTAATCTCTAATCATCTGTTAAAGGACTACTACAACATTTATATTATCCAATATTATCAATAAAGTACTGCATCAAGAATCAAACTTAAGTAAAACTATTTTTGTACGAATGTGTAATGTAGTTAAAGTATTAGGAGTAAAGTACTTATTGCAGAATAAACAAAAAAAACATGTAAATATTTTTTAATATTTTGAAGCAAAAGCAGCAAATCTTCGAATTTTAGAAGCTGGAAATGTGATATATTTTTAACAACAAACTTCTTAGCCAAATCTCTGCCAATACATTTTCTGTTAACACACTCATGGTTTTAGTAACTTAGATATAATGTTGGATGGTTGAATGAATCTATACCGAATAACCACATTTTGTTACAGCCTGTAATGATAACAAACACCACCTTTGAATGACTTTGTATACTGCAGGGTAGCTTGTGAATTTACTCCAGGTGGAACTAAAGTCTGATTTAAGACTTGATTATATTTCACATCATTCATCCAGATCTGTAAAGTAACTAAAGGTATTAAATACATGTAGTGGAGTAAAAGTACACCATCTACCTCTGAACCTCTGGGAGGCGTGTGGTGCAGTGGCTTGTGCGTTGGTGTTCGGACCAGGGGGTCACAGGTTCAAACCCCACTGCAGTCAGCAATTGTGTCCCTGGGCAAGACACTTCACCCCAAATTGCTCCTGTGGGTATTGTCCACAGTATTGTAAGTCGCTTTGGATAAAAGCGACATGTAATGTAATGTAACTGTCATGGAGTAGAAGTAGGCCTACAGAGTAAAACATTGAAATACTCAAGTAAAGTACAAGTAGCCTCTCAATATATATCTCAAAATTGTACTGAAGTATGGTACTTGAGTAAATGTACTTAGTTAATTTAACCCTTGTGTGGTGTTAATATTTGTGTTACTCAGCCAGTGTTCGTGGATCTGGTGGACCCGCTGCCTTTTTGGGTTTCAATTCAACACAATCAAACTATTTCATATTAAAATACTCAACAGATGTTTACTTCATCCCAATTACAAGCAATATAAACAGTATATATGGTTCATATTTGCCCTTTTACATTTGTTAGATCACATTAATGAATTCAAGTGCTACTTGTTTTTTTGCCCGCTGACCGGCTGGTCCTGTGGCTCGTCTTTCTTTTGTAACTAGCTGATGCTCAATCTCATCCTCTTCTTCAAAGTCACTGTCAGACTCACATTCTGAAACCTCTTCCTCTACATCATCATCAAATGGTTCTCTCTCTTCCGGAATCATCTGCAAGGCCCTCTGAGCAGAGAATCGTTTGGCCATCTTGATCAGTTGTGATAAGGACCCAAACTGGCGAAGCTTTATTTATTGTGTCTTGCCCCAAATTTGCAGCTTGGATAGAGTGTGAACAAAATAAAGATTGGTTCCCGCAAGACATATTGCGGGAATGTGAGAGCAGACAGGTGCATTGAAAATGTGTTCTGATGTTCTTCACAGAAAATGAGCCAAGGCCATTGAGTGTGAGTTTGAAAAAATAATGTATCATATCATTTTTCTTTAGCTAAATAATGAAAACTGGTCCCACAGACCCGAACACCATACAAGGGTTACGTTTAGATTGAACACTGGTCAGATGATCAAACAGAGGAAACAAGTGGGTTAAAAACATGTTTGAGTCAGAACTTGAAAGTCTTCCAGATTCTAAAGTTCATCTTTCCAATATATCTGCTGGTCATAAAAACAGATGACTGCATTTCTATCAATGATTAACTAGTAAAAGAGATTATTGAAAGCGAATGCTGACATTGTTGAAGAGAGCCTCGACACCAGTACACTGTGGGAGATCTCCAACAACACAGTTAGAGGACTGTAAGAGGCAAACCGAGGGGAAGTACAAGGTGAGCTGCTTCTTGAAGTTTCCTGAGCTGCCGTGTGTGTTCAGAGACTTTCAGAGATCCTGTGTCTCTGAGCTGCAACCACAGCTTCTGTTTGAGCTGCCTGCAGACATTCTGGGAACAAAGTAAGAGCAAAAACTGTGCACTTCAAACTTTGATATATGAGCTTTTTCCTTTTTATCACGTTGTTGTTTTTTTTAAACGTATTAAATCTTATGTGTTTATCTTCCAACAGATAGGCCTACCTGGACTAAGTCATCGTCCTGAACTGAATACCAAAGTACATTTCCCTCTGAAAGACATCCTGACTCCATCTGCTGGTGAATAAATGACATAGCAGCATTTCCTGATGTTGATAATTCACCCTGCGACGGAGGGCAGAGAAAACGAAAGAGGATTTTGACATTGTTGAACAGAGCTGAGACGCCATTACAGGGTGTGAGATCTCTGCTGCGAGACACGTTTGGAGTATATTTGGGGAGAAGTGGAGAGACATTGGAAGTTGGTGAGTCCTGCTATTGAAAATAACTTTAATATCAAATGGCTGAGAAAACCGTTCTTCTTGAAAGTTTCCTGAGCTGCCATGTGTGTTCAGAGACTTTCAGAGATCCCGTGTCTCTGGGCTGCAACCACAGCTTCTGTTCGAGCTGCCTGCAGAAATTCTGGGAACAAAGTAAGAACAAAAACTGTCCCATTTGTAAAAGAAAATCTTCTAAAGATCTTCCGGAGTGAACTTTACACTGAAGGAGCTGGCTGACTCCTTTGCTGAGAGACAGAAAGCTGGATCATCTGAGACAGAAAAAGGAGAGAAGAAGGTGGAGGTGGTGTGTAGTAAACATCAAGAAGAGCCTAGATTGTTCTGTATGGATGAAGAGAGAGCTGTGTGTCCTGTCTGTGAGTTTTCTCTCCACCGGAGTCACAAGGTGGTTCCTGTAGAACAAGCAGTCAGTGAGCTGAAGGACCTGCTGAAATCTGACTTAAAGTCTCTGAAGGACAAGAGGGACAAATACAAAGGAGTGGAGGAAACATACAAGGAAGTGATTCAAGTGTCCGAGAAGCAGCTGCTGTCCACAGAGAGGCAGATCAGAGCAGAGTTCATCAAGCTCCATCAGTTCCTGAAAGAGGAAGAGGAGTCCAGACTGGCAGCTCTGAGGGAGGAAGAGGAGCAGAAAGGGAAGACTATCAGCAGAGAGATGAAGAGCATTCAGGAGCACATCTCCTCTCTGTCACACAGTATCTCTGCTGTTGAAGAAGAGCTGCAGAAACACAACGGGCCCTTCCTCAGCAGTTACAAAGCCACTCAGAGCAGAGCCAGAGTCCAGAGCTCACTGTCAGACCCACAGCTGCTCTCAGGAGCGCTGACAGATGTGGCCAAACACCTGGGCAACCTGTCCTTCAGAGTCTGGGAGAAGATGAAGGACCAGGTCCACTTCAGTCCTGTCATTCTGGACCCAAACACTGCAGGCAGATGGCTCTCTCTGTCTGATGATCTGACCAGTGTGAGACATGGAGGCAAATATCAGCAGCTTCCTGATAATCCAGAGAGATACACTAAGTATCCTAATGTTCTGGGCTCTGAGGGCTTCAGCTCAGGGAAACACAGCTGGGAGGTGGAGGTGGGAGATCATCCTGTCTGGACTATAGGTTTGACTAAAGAGTCAGTTGACAGAAAGGGAGAGAGACCAGGTGCCTCACCAAAATATGGAATCTGGTGTTTAAGACATCGCAGTGGAAAATACACTAATGGTGCTGGTGAGACTGTCAGAGTGAAGAAGAATCTCCAGAGGATCAGAGTCCAGCTGGACTATGACAGGGGGGAGGTGTCCTTCTACGACCCTAAAGACATGACTCCCATCTGCACTCACACAGACACTTTCACTGAGAAACTCTTCCCATGGTTCAGTATTGGAGAAGCTGGTGATGCTAAAACTGCTGATATCAAAATCTGTCAAAGTGAGATTCCTCTGTGATGCTCAGGAGTGTTAGTTCAGACTTTATTCGGACTTCGTCTGTCTAGATCCTTTTGAAATAATCAAGGTAAAAAACAACAGATGATAATCAGGATTTAATTTGAGTCTGTAAGATTTTAAATGTTAAGAAGATTTGATCATGTTTTATTTACAGAGTTTTACACGTTTTACTCAAAGTCTCAGTGCAACAAAACTAATTATTTGTTTATTTTTATAGTTTATCATTTTGTTATACTTTATTATAATGTGTTTATAGCTTTAAAGGTGGGGTAGGTAATTCACTTCTTTTTGATATTTGTAGGTCTTTTGATGAATTATGTTTAGATATGGATATATTGTTTTACTCTCCACGGGCAAGTCATTTAATAGTTCTATTTCATTCTTTCATTGTTGCAATGTTTCTTTGGGACGTTTTCCGTACTGTATACATGGACAATAACATTTATTATGATTGAAAATGTAAATTCTTTTTTCAACCTAAAAGGAATTACAGCTGTAGAATTCAGTTTAGTATTTGTAATGCTGCTTCAGATATCTTATGATTCAATAACCAGCAGTTTGATGCAGAAATGTGTCTCTGAACTTGATATTGGTTTCTTCAGGTGAATCTGTCATATGTGACAAATTACAAATATAAATGACAAAAGACAATTGTACAACAAACTATAATATAAATAAATAATTCTTAATGATTTAATCTCTTCTTATTTTTTGCATTGCATCCCTTCAAACATCTGTTTTAACCGTAACATGAATTGACAGCCAAACTCATGACATCTATATTTCCTTTTGTGAAGTCATGTTGTTAACCTGCTGTAAACAAAGAAGCTCCCACCCTGATGAAGGAGAATCAGCAGAAAACATGTGAGGGGTAAAGCATGGCATACTGGAGCTGTGCCACGTGTTTGATTTGATGGAGTTGTTTTGATTCTATCTTAGAAACAGATAGGCCTACCTGGACAAAGTCATCGTCCTGAACTGAATACCAAAGTACATTTCCCTCTGAAAGACATCCTGACTCCATCTGGTGGTGAATAGATGACATAGCAGCCTTTCCTGATGTTGATAATTCACCCTGCGACAGAGCGCAGAGAAAACGAAAGAGGATTTTGACATTGTTGAACAGAGCTGAGACGCCATTACAGGGTGTGAGATCTCTGCTGCGAGACACGTTTGGAGTATATTTGGGGAGAAGTGGAGAGACATTGGAAGTTGGTGAGTCCTGCTATTGAAAATAACTTTAATATCAAATGGCTGAGAAAACCGTTCTTGTTGAAAGTTACCTGAGCTGCCATGTGTGTTCAGAGACTTTCAGAGATCCCGTGTCTCTGGGCTGCAACCACAGCTTCTGTTCGAGCTGCCTGCAGAAATTCTGGGAACAAAGTAAGAACAAAAACTGTCCCATTTGTAAAAGAAAATCTTCTAAAGATGTTCTTTTGGTGAACTTTACACTGAAGGAGCTGGCTGACTCATTTGCTGAGAGACAGAAAGCTGGATCATCTGAGACAGAAAAAGGAGAGGTGGAGGTGGTGTGTAGTAAACATCCAGAAGAGCCTAGATTGTTCTGTATGGATGAAGAGAGAGCTGTGTGTCCTGTCTGTGAGTTTTCTCTCCACCAGAGTCACAAGGTGGTTCCTGTAGAACACGCAGTCAGTGAGCTGAAGGACCTGCTGAAATCTGACTTAGAGTCTGTTAGAAATTAAAATCAATGTTTAATAGCATAATTTAGTCTAAAACATATCGTCAGTTTAAAAGCTGTTTTATTGTGAAAAAACCCGGAAGTTCTCATGAAATCTCAATGCCATGCTTTTATTCTGAAAATCCTTCATATCCGGTCAGTATTTAGCATGTGGCTAATATTAAGATTTCTGAATGTGAAGTGAAAATGACATGCACACCAAAACCTACGGACTTTAACACTACATCTATAGACGTCGAGATATTATTACTGCTGAATATTAAATGAAGGTACAGTTGATCGTAAAGTGTTTTCACATACGTGGGCATAGATATATATAAACACTCTGAGGGCCGCAATAGAAATAGGCTCTCAGGCTTTATTGTGTTTTTATCCGTGGTGATGATGTTTGTATCTTGTAGAGCTAATGTGCTCTTCATTTGAACTATCTCCTTATAAACTCAATCAAGGTCTCCCTGGCTGCTCAGACTTTGAGTAACTCTGTGGCAGTGGCGCTCCGCACCTTGCGGGAGATGGGCTATGCAGAGTTCAAAGACTGTGAGGCTACTACAGAATTCATTGAGGTAATACAGCTAGGGATTTGCATCATTGACCAAAATTCATTTTCCAATATTCTACTGTTCTTAACAACATTTGAGTGATTAATTGCTTTAATCCATTTGATCCTGGTGGCATTCCCATTTTGTCATGTCATCACAGGTGAGATATTTCAGATTTTAAGTTTTCACAAAAACGTGAAAACACACCGTTTGTAGATCTTCTGTTTTTGTTGTTCGTTATATAACACAACATTAATACATTAACATTTGAATTGGGCATCGGGAATGATTAAATATTTATGACCATCCGCAAATTCAACAATATGCAAGCACTTGGATAATGTTTATACTTACCTCATACTTATCTCAGAAGCACCCTTATTGTCACATCTCAGATTTACAGGTTTAAAGCAGTGCAGCAATTTCATTTTAAAAAGCACAGCCACAGAGGAAATATAGTTCTATCGCTATTCCTCATACTTGGATGTTTACTATCTGATACCTGTTGACACCCAGTTATGGTGATGATTTCAGTGCTTCCAGTTAATTTAGATATTTGTTTATAGATAACGGACAGGCTGTTTGACATATTGAACAGCCGCAATCCCAGAGCCAAAGGGTTCAAAGCCCCCCTTGGTTCTAGGAATTGGACAAGCACCAGGGAGTTCTTGTCAAGAGCCAGGGGGTACTTGCTCACTTTGAAGATGGAAGATGGCACACCCCTTTACCGAACAAAGAGGTGTTTTAAAATAGTGAATGTTCTGTTGGTGATGCACTGATACCATTTTCGCCCCACACAAGTATAAGTGCAACTACTCAACTTTTTAGTAGTCGCCAATACCCAGTACAAATGTATTATTATTATTTATTTATTCTTCGTTAGATGTATACAAGTAGTCAATTTACCAATCATTAAATTATCTAAGGTAAAACTAAGTAGTACTGCTTTGGTGCTCTGACTGAGTATCTAAGATTTGTAACGGTTACCAATAACTCAACTCTACCGGTTTCAGTGCATCCCTAAAGTCCATGACATAAGTTCATGAGATGCTCTGTTCTCTTGTTTATCATCAAGTTTATGTGATTCTCTACTATCTTCTGCATCGAGTTGAGATGCTCTGTTTTCCTGTCTGCATCGAGTTCATAAGATGCTCTGTCCTGTCTGCATCGAGTTCATGAGATGCCCTACTCTTCTGCATTGAGTTCATAAAGTGGTACGTATTATACACTATCTTGCTCCAATGTGTTTGCTGTCAGCGAATTTGTCTCTGTTCCTCTGTTGTGTTCAGTTTTTGTTCCCCCAGATGCAGGTGTCAAAATGGTATGTATTACATGGTCTGCATGTTCGGTGGTGAATTAATTCAAGCAGGTTTAGTGTCCTAAAAGTAATTTTAAGAATCCTAAACCTCACACTGATTATACTTTTAAGATCAGGGATGCAAACTAGTCAGCTTTAGGGTACGGTCCCCTTTCCCCCCCAAAATGTGGCAATGAAGTGAATTGTGTGAATTGTGTGAAATGTGGATTTGTATCTGCCCTGGCAGCTCCCTGAGAAGTGCTGCTCTGGGAGCATTAACTATTTTCACCCTATACCGTATGTGTTTGCATCCCTGCTTTCTTGTCTCCTGTTTTGGTGGGATCATCATAGTAATACAATATTTGCTTTTGAAGGTTCCTCTCTATCCTGGGCTTCATCATCAATATCGACACGTTGATGTTGATGGTTCCTGTGCTGCTTGAAGGACAGCGATATGTCCTGACCTACAGGTTCAGCCAGGACCACTTGGAGCTTCTCTTTAACTCCATCAGAGCATCCGGTAGGGTTCATATTTACCAGCCGCAACACTAAGTGACAGCAAATGCTTGTATTCTTTTCAGTTTGTCTGTCCATATGTTTGTTTGTTTTTTTGGAAAAATGCGGTTCTGAAGACATATACAGTATCTGGAAGTGTCACAGAAACCATTTTGAGTATTAAGAAAAATGTCTGTGTACCTTATCTTTCTTACAGTGCAGACGCTTTTCCGCTTGCTCTTGCCTCTGCTTACTTTTTATGCTGATTTTCCTATTCTTATTCTCTGAAAACTTCGAGCAGCGGCTCCTGGACATTAACTTATCACTGGGACAATTATTCATCGTAAATAGACGGAGGGTTTCAGCCATATTTCAACATTTTTACGACGACCTCAGTCTTATGCCGCGTTTCCACTACACAGCCTCGCTCGGCCCCGCTCGGCCTCCTTTGGCCGCGCCCGGCCTCGTTAGGACCAGCTCACTTTGTGGCGCGTTTCCATTACAGTTTAGGAACCGGGTCAGTATCTATAGTAACGCAGTGTAGGCGGAGCGACGCTGCTTAAAACTGCCGTGACGTCATCTTCAATGCGACAAAGCGACACAACACACAACAATGGAGGATGTTGAGAAGATCGTTGGCTTGTTGCTTGCTGTGTGGTTCTTTATCACAACAAATAGTCAAGAGATGACTCGAAAGAGGCGACTTGTAGCAAGACGAGGTATAGAGGCAGCTGACGCGAGAGTTCTGGCAGCCCGCAGAGACTACTGGAGGACTCTAACTACTACTACTACTACTACTACTGCTACCAATACTTCTTCGAGACTACAATGCTACTTGGTAAGCTAACGTTCGCTAACTAGCAATGTGTTTAGGCTCACGCTCCCCATACGACCAAAGAATTTCAAGTATTTAATTAATTGTAGCTACCACTTTTACGTATTAAAATATGTATGCTTTTGTTTGTGTATTTCAGAAGTTACTTCGCCGCCCTAGACCATGCGTTTGGATGGTCGACCGAGCTACCGAGTGGTGGAATGTGATTGTTCCATCTTTCACACACACTCAGTGGGTGGAGAACTTCAGGATGTCTGAAGAAACCTACGTCTACCTGTGCAACAAACTGCGGCCAGCGATGGAGAAACAGGACACATCATTCCGCGTGTGTATACCTTTTAAGAAGAGAGTGGCCATCGCACTGTGGAAGCTTGCTACCGGCTGTGACTACAGAAGCATAGGACATCTTTTCGGAGTGAGCAAGACAACTGTGTGCCGGTGTGTGCAAGACTTCTGTGCTGCTGCAGAGACGTTGTTAGTACCGGAACTAATTCGTTCACCAGACCGGGAGAAATTTGCAGAAATGGCTGCCTACACTGAGAACAGGTGGGGGCTCCCTCAGTGTGTAGGTGCTATTGATGGGTCACACATACCCATCTTGGCACCACAGGAATACCACTGTGACTATTTCAACCGTAAAGGCTGGCACTCCATCATCCTTCAAGGAGTTGTTGATGGTAAGGGACATTTCTGGAATGTGTTTGCAGGAATGCCTGGGAGCATGCATGACGCTCGGGTTTTGAGACTGTCCACATTGTGGGAGTTGGCCAGTCGTGGCAACTACTTTCCAGCTTGCACCAGGAACATTGGTGGGGTGAATGCTGGCTATTAC